GACTATGGGGGTGCACTTACATACATGCAGACAATACACTCATACACATACAAATAACAGTACTAAATAAAATATTTTAAAATGTTCAATGAGGAGGAAAAGTATAACTCAATGCCTCATATGCAAATTGTATGCCAAGCAGAAGGATTCCATTTCCATTTTTTTAAAAAAGTTATCTCAGAGCTCTAACCAAAGTCCAATTTCATAAGCAATTTAGCAGTACAATTGGCTAGGCTTGCTTTATTTTATACAGTAGGTATATCTAAGCTGGGCATGGTGGAGCACGCCTTTAATCCCAGTACTTGGGAGTCAGAGGCAGGCAGATCTCTGTGAGTTCGAGGCCAGCCTGGTCTACATAGTGAGTTCCAGGATAGCTGGGGATACAGGGAGACCCTGTCTCAAAAAGACAAAAAAAAGTAAAAAAAAAAAAGTAAAAAAAACATAAAAACTTATTTAGCAAAGAAATGCAACACTTATGAATCTGCTATGTATAAAAAGTAATTGTTTATAGGTCTAGAAAGTGTGGTGAGTAGATAATTATTTATATTGCAAAGATATAGCCTCCAAAGCTACAACTTCTGGTTTTCCAAATCCAAAGCACAGACATAATATATGAAACAATGGTTTTAAGATACCCAGCAAGAGGCTGGAGAGATGGCTCAATGGATAAGAACACAGGACCTGAGCTCAATTCCCAGCACCTACATGATGTCTAACAACCGTCCATAACTCCAGTTTCAGGGGATCTGATGCCCTCTTTCTGACCTCTGTAGGCATTTCATGACATGAGTGCACTTACATACATACAGGCAACATACACACATTAAAAAAAAAGATACTGGACATAAAGAACAGAAGGCAGGACAGTGAGTGGTTCCTGAGAGATGGGTGACAAGTGACAGGAGCCCACAGCTGCTCCAGCTTCCTCCCTTGAGTGTTTCCAAGTCATGGGGCCTAGGAGGGGACCCAAAGGTCAGTCCAGAACTCCCTCTGAGTCAGACAACAGTGGAGAATATGGGGAAACCAAAGAAACCAAAAGACTTGACTGACACTCTTATCCAACGTCCCACAATTGACCTTGATAGAATGCATATTCTTCCGGGCATGGTAGTAAACACTTGTGACAATGACTAAATGGAGACAAGCAGAATTTCCTCTAAAATCAGGAATAAGACAAGAATGCCACTCTCCCCTCTCTTATTCAATATAATGCTCAAAGTCTTAGCTATGGCAAGTAGACAAGAGAAAGACATAAAAGGGATAAAACGTAAAAAGAAAGAAGTCAAACTGTCCCTATTTGGAAGATGACATGATTCTATACTTAAAATATCTTATAGAATCTTCTAGAAAACTCTTAGATCCAATAAACACAGTAAAGCTTCAGGATACAAAATCAATATAAAAAAGTAGCCTTCATATACCAACAATATACTCTCAGAGAAAGAAATTAGGAAAAATATCCCATTCATAATAGCTCCAAAAAGTTAAGTGCCTATGAATACACTTAATGAACAACATGAAAGAACTCTGCAACAGAAACTTCAAGACACTGAAAAAGAAAACCAAAGAAGATAGTGCACGATGGAAAGACCCTCTGTGCCCTATATTGGCAGAATTAATATTGTGAAAATCGATATAGTACCAAGATTAATCTACAGATTTAATGCAATACACATAAAAATTTCACGTCATATTTTACATGTCTTCAAAATAAATCCAAGAATTCATATGGAATCACAAAGTAGCTTTAATTTGCATTTCCCTGATGGCTAAGGATATTGAATACCTTTTAAAATCATTATTGGCTGGGCTGGAGAGATGGCTTAGAGGTTAAGAACACTGTTCTTGCAGAAGACCTGGGTTTGAGTCCCAGCGCCCCAGTATCTGGAAAAGTATTCCCTATCTTTTTCAGCATTTCATATTTTAAACTAAGGTGTTTGATCCATTTCAAATTGATTTTTGTACAAAAAAAGGGTGTTTTGAAATACCATCTCTCCCAGTCAGAATGGCTGTCATCAAGAAATCTGAAAGCAAGCGTTGGAGAGGTTGTGGAGAAAGAGGAACCCTTACCCACTGCTGATAGGAGTGCAAAGTAAAACAGCCATTACGGACCCAGCCGTTTCACTCCCGGGCATGTACACAGAGCAAGAAATTTCCTGACACAGAGATGTTTGCATTCCAAATTCATTACTGGTCTATTTATGATAGCAAGGAAATGAAACCAACCTAGATGTCCATCAACAAATGGATCATGAAAATGTAGTATATATACACAATGGAATATTATCTACCTGTAAAGAAAAATGAAATTATGAAATTTCAGGAAAATGAATGGACTTAGAATGTATAGCGACAAGCAAGGTCGCTCCAACTTAAAGAAAAAAACCCACATGTTCTCCCTCATATGTGGATCCTAACCTATAATGTACACTCATATATGTTAGGCATAGTACTTAATACTTGGTGCTTTTGGTCCCTTGTATGTAATTAGTCTAAAAGAAAATGTTCCTTCATTATAGAGTTGCTGTATGAAGTGAATTGATACAGGAAATTAAAAAGAACTTGAAGTAGTTACTTACCTGTAGTTACTATTCTCAGAGGCCCCATTCTATGCCAGGCACACTGGACTACAATCATGACATGTAAATAGCCCTAAGCTCAAGGCAGACCTCAGAAGTCATGAGATTCCAGGGTCTGGATTCCAGTCCTGGCTTGACCAGTACAATTCTCTGGCCCTTACAGTGTTCTTCGCACATCAGATCTTAAGCTCTCTATTGGTAAAATAGGAAAGTTGGGAAGAAGATGCATTTATGGCCCCTTTCAGCTTTTACTATTGCTTTTTCTAATTCAAAAGTATAAAAACATTACAAAATGAAAAGCTTTTCTACAACTTTTGAGCACAAACTGAAAAGTGACAGTTTTCACATTAGAGTGCAGGTTTTTTTGTTCTGCAGTATGGAGAGCTAACAACACAGTTACAGGGACATTACAACGAATAAAATTTCAGCGGAACACTAAGTTACGTCTTTAATGTTTTATGAGAAATTGTAACATACAGTTTTGATTCTTATCTTCTGAAGATATTCAGAGTTCTGGATCTGAACTCCCTCTTTCCAAGACTGTACATGACATCTCTGAGAGGTCACAGTTTGTATGCTTCATCTGTGAGTAGAGGGTGTCCCATGAGCCTGGCCTCAGTGGTCCACCTGAAGAAAGCCTCATCTCAGGGGCATTCTAGAATGTTCTGGTTTTTCCAAGGTCAGGCATTCTGAGTGGTGAGTGAAGTAACCATAGAAAATTAAGAGTTCACACAGATCACTTTGTGTGAAATTCCCTGGAAGGGGTATAATATTTAATGCCACCATTACATAGAAAAATGGCATTTACAAGGTGGAGAAATTTAATAGAGTTTAGTTAGTTCCATCACATGTGCTTCTAGGATTATATGATTTGGTGAGGACTACAGATGTGATTAGTTGTCTTCTCTGGAACCCAGCAGACATCAGGGCTTTTGTGCTAATTTGAAGAGGTATAACCATGATGGGGTAGGGAGGGAGAGCTTCCTCTATTAACACCCTGTTGGAGAAACTGCCATATGGGTCAGAAATCCCCAACATTTTAGAGACTGAAGTAGGAGTGTCATATTTCTACTAGTTCAAAGCCTTACCCACACACTACTATAACTAGTTGTCCAACCAGTAGCTACCAACATGATCTCTGAAGAAACACTGGCTACAAGGACCAGATGGAAATTTTGTTAAAACAAATGAACATTAGATTTTATGACCTGAATCTCAAGTCTCTGTTATCTGCCAGGAACACTGTTCCCTTTACCTTCCTCATAATCCCTAGAGAAAGTCATTGAACTGCTTTCTGTTGGAAGGAGTTGTTTCCATGAAGCCTACAATGTGACTAACGCTATGTCATTTACTGCTAGCTGGAACAGTGGGCCTCAACTTGCATATTATTATTATTATTATTATTATTATTACTTTTTACCTATCAATATCAATGACATTGTACGCTCCAAAAATCCATGAGATGACCTGCATGTTCCTGTCCACCTAACCAGAAGGGGAAAGAGAGTGAGGATGAGTTGAACTGATTGATACCTCTGTTGGCCATTGTAAGAGAGAGAAAAAGTTCCATTTGATTAGCTGGCATCTCTAAGTCAGGGCTTGGAAAACTCAAGTTTGTGTTGTGTGTGTGTGTGTGTGTGTGTGTGTGTGTGTGTGTGTGTGTATTGGGGAGCGCAAACAGGAAATTCAAGTTGTACTTGGATTTCCAGGATAGTTAAAGGATGATAAAGGAATCTTTTATCAATCACTGTTAGCCTAAGTTTAATGAAAAAAAAAATCATACTACTTTATTATAAAAATGTGAAAATACAAAAAATTAAAAGACAGTTTTATAGAAAAAGTAAGCTAGTGCTATTTTAATGTTTTTTCTAATACTTTTCTGGCATTTTTTAAAAAAATTGAGATCATATCTATATACCACTTTGTCTGGTACTTCTACATAAGATTTTTGGTGCATTTCCTTTAATAATGTCTCTGTGTGTGTGTGTGTGTGTGTGTGTGTGTGTGTGTGTGTGTCTGAGACAGTGTTGCTTCTTAGTCTAGGCTGGTTCAGGACTCATGATTTTCCTGCCTCCTTTTCTTGAGTGATGGGATTACAAGAGTATGCCACCATGCTCAGTGTATAATGATTTTTACCACGTCAGTTAAATTCCAATCACTCTCTTGTTGTTGGGCATAATGTTATGTTATTGAAAATGTGCATAAATTATATGTGCTTTTCTCTTTAGGGTTGTTTCTATGAAATGATATTTAAATATCAGTTAATATATTAATGGTCTAGATATATTTTAATCAAAGGATTATAGCAAAAATACCCTCCCACTAACAATATACAAAAACATTTCATTTCACAGCAATACTGCCAATATTAACTGCTTTCTGAAAAAGACAAAAAAAGAACCCTTACAAATTTGATAGCAAAGCAATATTTTATTGTAATTTTATTTACATTTCTCTGATGACTAGCTATATTTCTTCTTTTTTCTACTATGCTCATAGTTCACATTTCATCCTTATTATTTTGTTTCATAAAGTCTAATGAAACAATAAAATTCATTAGAGTCTATTTTAGATTGATTTAATTATTTTTTACACAAACATTCTGAAGGCTGTAGTTTATTGTCAGGAAAAACATAAAGTATAAATGTTCATAAATAGCTCATTGCATACTAACATCAGAGCAAATAGATTCTCCAAATAACATGATTTGTTTTGTAGTGTAGCTGGTGGGATCCATTCTACAGAAAACATAGTTATACCTTCAAATCAAACCCAAACATATTATCTTTACAGAGAAAAGGAGAATAGGATTATAAAAATACAATTCTGATAAACTTAACTTTTAGCAGACCATATGGATTTGTTGAAGACTAAGTTCTTTTATTTACCTCTTCAAAGAACTGATTATTTTTTTCACCTCTTTATGTGCATCTTTGTCCTATAAAGAAAATACAAATATACAATGAAATTTCACACATTTATCTTGATACTCTAATTACTTTTAAATAGACTAGTTTTGAATACAGATATATTTTTTGAAAGGCCATTACCAATAAATTATAGATTTCTTAGGACCAAGAAGGATGTGAATATTTGAGAATACAGGTAATGTAAGGAGCTGTTTCCGTTCTCTTCCTCCATGATATCTGGAGTAGGATTCAGGAGGTGAAAGCCTTCCACGTGAGCCAACACAATGGCTCTAGCAGCCGTGTTACCAATATTGCTGTCTTTATGCCCAGTGTGGTGGTGCATGCCTTAAATCTCAGCACTGAGGAGGCAGAGGCAGATGGATCTCTGTGAGTTCAAGGCCAGCCTGATTCTACATAGTGAGTGCCAGGTCAGTCAGGGATAATGTAGTGAGACCCTGTCTCTAAACAAACAATATTGCTGTCTTCTTCTTCAACTATGAGATGTAAAGCCCTAGCAGTAGGATCTGAGAGTACCCTATGAGAGGTATATATACATATATGTCTCTATATCACATACATGTTTCATAAGTATGATATATATATTTCATTAGTGATTTTAATCAAGTAGCTTATTCTAGAGATTACTATCCTATGACTGTCACAGAAGAATGATTGATGTCACCTGAAAATATAGTAATTACCTATCTACCTATCATCTATCTATCATCTATCTATCTATCTATCTATCTATCTATCTATCTATCTATCTATCTATCTATCTATCTATCATCTAATCTATCATCTGAGACAGGGTCTTCCTGAAACCCCAGCTCAAACTCACTATGTAGACCAGGCTGGCCTTGACCTCACAGAGATTCATCGACCTGAATGCTGGGATTAAAGGCTAAAGCAACCATAGTCAGCTGTTATAGCAATAATAATTGCCCCTTCAGATTAGTACATATATCACTGTAAAACAAATATTCTAAACTCTTTTCTAGTAGTGCCCTCTCAGTACACTCCAGGCCATTGAACTTGAATATTACTTCTAGGCAAACAACTGTCAGTATGAAACCAGTTTTGTTTTTTTTTTGTTTTTGTTTTTTTTTTAAATTCAGCAATTATTTCACACTGTCTTAGAGATAGGAATTCCTTTTATTTTATTTTTTGTTTTAAAGAATGCTTCTCAGGACCTGTGATAATCTTCTAAGGTCAAGAGAAGTCTGCAGAAATAATAAAAACAGTGTAGTTTCAAATTTTGGTAATGTACAGATGATTATATCCACAAATCTGGGCTCAAGAGATCAAATGGTTGACAGTCCCAGTATCAAGTAGATGTGGGACAGGTTTCCAGTTCCCCGGTAAAAGACAACAGCCACAAACAACTGCCATGTAAGGTAAGTTACAAGTGTCATAGGACAGAGGCATAAATGTTATGCAAATTCACCTGCAGGAGAGAACACTACAGGCTAGGCTGTCTTCCCTGAAGGTGGTGGTGGTGCTGGGCATTTTAGCAATGAATTAACTAGTTAGCAAAATCACTAATTAGGTCTATTTAAAACAGAAAAAAAAAGCTTTTTTAGAGACGGGTGGTGGCCATACATATAACTCACCTTATCCTATGTTCTCAACAAAAAAGAAATTGAATTACTCTTGACAATACACGCAAGACTTAAAAAACAATTTCTAAGAATACAAATGAAGGTACCGTTAGAAAAAACAAGATAATGTGGCGAATATTTTCTTATTACAGAAATATTTTCAGAACATTCGGATTTCTAAGTTGCACTTATCACTATTCTTGCTTATTATCATAACTCACGATGTTATTTTTATTTGCGTGGAATCAGTGTTTGGACTGTATCAGCATTCACTGAGTGGCATGATGCTAGGCAGAGACATTTGGCATGAGAAATAGAGTGGTCAATAAAAGAGACTTGCTGCCATTATTCTTAATGGAATAATCATATGTATAACTATATAATCACAACTCTGCCAAATGATATGATGGGAAATAGCAGGGCTTTCTTGCCAGGGGGCATCAAGTGGTCTCGATAAACAAGTAAACTGTGAGACCAGCTTGGAGGTTCTTATGATCTTTTGGTCAAGGAAAAGGTTGGTGGTGCCCTGCCCTGAGTAGCAGCAGTGAAGAGAGCAAGCATGTGTTAGAAGAGGAACAGAGAAATCTGGCCATCAGGTCTGTCTAGGTTTGTGAGGCTGAGGGAGAACGAGTCATTAAAGATGATTTTAGGTTTGCCATCTGGGTGGGTGGAGGTGCCATTTACAAAGAGGGTAAGATGGGGGAAGAGCAGACCCAAAGTTCTGGTGCTGTTTGACCTGTCTGAGAGCCATCCAAGTGGATATGTCTGTCATGTAGGAAGTTGGTCTACAGTTCAGAAGAAAGGTCTAGAGGTTTAAATTTGAGAATCCCTGGTATATAGATAGAATTTGACGCCATAGAGGATATATAGACTTAGGGGTGGGAAGAGGAATGCCTACAGACCAAGGACCAACTTTGAGCATCAATATTTAGCTCTCCTGTGAGGGTTCCAAATATTATACATAAACATTTGTATTTCAAACCAGGTATCACATCTTATTATTATATTTTATTCTAATCTTACATTCTACTAAGAGCACATGGATAGTTTAAGACTATTGTAATACAACATACATTGATGTGAAAGGCAGAAGGGTCCCCATCATCCAGCACAGAGTAAGTAACCAGAAGGACAAAATATGCTGCCACCTGAAACCTTTGTCTTACAGACTTCTAGAACCTGTGTAGGTTCCTCATCCTTTTTTTAAAAACAGAGTCTCACTATGTAGCCTTGCCTGGCCTGGTACTTGCTACATAGACTGGTCTGGCCTCAAACTTATGGTAATCCCATGTCTTTTTCCTGGGTGCTGGGAATTCAGGCGTGCAGCATGACACCTGCTTATTCTGAACCTTTTATTAACTAATGGAATCTACTAAGTATTTGAGGTAGAAGGGCAATCGACTTTGTTGGAAATTCCAAACATCCAGATGGCACATATTAGCAAACCCAGCTTTGCTGTGGCCGTGGAAGGACCCAGTGGAGCCTGGTTGACCTCCTTTGGAGTCACATGCTTCCTCTGACCCTGTAGTTCCTCAGATCGTGCTTTATTTTCCTATTTCAGTCTTAGTCACAATGACTCCCCTGTGTACTCCTATCCCAGGCAAGCACCTTTGCTCTCTTATTCTGTGCCTGCGTTCATGACCTGAGATGTCCTTTGGCCACACTTTCACATTATACAGATCTTACAAAGTCTGTCTCTGATATCTCCTGATCTTTGATGGAAGAAAATGAGTTCTACCTTAAAAAAAAAATCTCTGAAACATTTCTGCACCTCTCTTAGCACTTTGTGCCCTGTACCTCGAGCCATAAGTATCTAGACAAACACTATACATTCTCTTAGGTTATAGCTCCTTAGAGGACATCAGACATGCCCAGATCACAAAAAAATATTAGTGCTCCAGCAGAGAACAGGAGTACTTTCTCCACTGCTAATTGAAGATGGTAATGCTTGGTGGTATAGGACAGGAGCAGAAAAGCATTTACTTATTTCCATTTATTTTTACAGTATCAGGCAATGGCTTGCAGACGCACAGCCTAGGTTGCTGGAAGAATGTCTGAAGCCTATAGAATTTCCAGAATTCTGAATTACTGAATAAAATGGCGAGACAATGCAAGAGTATATTTATCATTAATGGAGTCTCCCAACACATCCTCCAAATGTAATATTCATTTTTATTATTGCTTCATGGTTGTGGATAGCACATTCTGCTCTGAGATGGAGACTAAGGATGATAATCCCATGGATATTTATTGTGCTTTTAAGATAGGTTACCTGTCTAACGTGTTTTCTGACAGCTTGTTTAATCAACAGATCTTCAGAATCATGCTGTCCTCCTTCCTATCTAGATCTTGACCAATTACACACACACAGACACACACACACACAGTGCACGTGGAGGCCTGAGGCTGATGTTGGGTGTCTTCCTCTATTATGCTTCACCTTATTTTTTGAGGCCAGGTCTCTCACTGAACCTGGAGCTTGTTACTTCAGATAGACTGGCTAGCGAGCAAGACTCTGGATATATCTGTCTCCACCCATTCAGTGATGGGATTATAGGCATGAGTTATTGTGCATGACTTTTAATGTGTGATGGGGAACCAAATTCAGGTCCTCGTGTTTGTGCAGCAAGCACTTAACCCATGGGGACATCTTCCCATCCCAGCATCTTCCTGAAGTTTTATTTCCAATATGCACCAGGATGTTTTATTTAGTAGTTCATGATTTGTATGTGCCTTAAAAGTTCACATGGTCTCCTAGTGATGTTATTGTACTGGATAGTTTTAGTTGTCAACTTGACACATCTGGCTAGAGGTTACCTCAATTGAGGAGTGGCTCGTGTTCATGTCTGTGGAGCATTTTCTTGACTGTTAAGTGATGCGGGATGGCCCAGCCCATTTTGGGTTGAGTAAGAAAGTAGGCTGAGTGCAGGCCAGAGGAGCAAACCAGTAAGCAATGTTCCTCCATGGTCTGTGCTTCAGCTCCTGCCTCCAGGTTCCTGCTGTGAGTTCCTGCCCTGACTTCCCTCAGTGATGAACTGTGATCTGGGAGATATAAGATAAAAAAACCCACTTTTCTTCCCAAGTTGCTTTTGATCAGTGTTTTTTATCACAGCAAAAGAAAGTAACTAGGACAGAAATTGGTACCAAGAGTGGGACATTACTATGACAGACCTGACCCAGTTGTTTTGGGGAGGATTGTAGAAGTTTTTGAAGCTTTGGACTTGGAAAACCATTGTATGCTTGGAGCTGAATCAGCAGCTCTGTAGGAACTTGAAGATAATGATGAAAGAGGTGTAGACAGTGGAGGCCTGGCTTTTGAAGCTTCAAAGGGAAGCAACGACTCTATCAGGGTTGTTTGTGTGACATATTTTGAATTAAGAATTTTTGGAAGTGAAAACTTTTATACTTTACTGGAACAATGGATATTGGTCATATGGGGCTGAAAAATCGGCTGTTGAGTAACAAGATACCAACATCACTGAGGTAAAATCTTCTGGGAAGTATTTCTTTAGGGTCAACATACAGAAGCTGAGGTCCAGAGACAGACAAGGCCACCCATCAAACTGGCAGCAGAACTTAGCACTATGTAAGAGTCTCCAAGGTGGGATTGGTGTTGATGGCATGAAGGGGTCCTGGAGAGCAGCTGAGGCTTGGTAAAAGCGCAACCTCAGTTGCAGTGAAGACCCCATGAAGGAGAGACCCTGAGGCTTGGCACCATGTGAGGTCAGGAAACACCTTTGATTAATGTGCAGCCTCAGTTACAATGGTGATCTCAGCGTACAGCGTATTGGAGATGCCAGGACCATGGGATGACCACCAACAGCAGCAGCAGCAGGTGTTGAGTGGAGTTAGCTTGAGACTACAAGACAAGCTGTGTGTGCTGTGGATGGCAGAGCCAGAGAAGTGGAGCTGCTCAGGTCCTTTGGAGCCCAGAAAATTGTGAGTGCATCTCAGATGTCAGATGTTGAGCTATATTGCTGGCCTCTGGTTTTGTTTAAGTATGCCCAGTTCTTCTCTTTTGAAATAAGGCAGCATCCAGCTTGTTTTAGATTTTACAGGAGCCCACAATTAAGAGACCTTTAACTTTTAGTGTTGAAATCTTTTAAAGACTGTGGGACTTTCAAAGTTGTACTGTTTTTATATTATAATATTAATATTAACATGAGACTTTGGGAATAAGAAATGAAAAAGTTATGCTTAATAGTGATGTGTTTGTATGTCAAGTTGACAAGGGGTTAACTGTACTGGATAGCTTCAGTTGTCAATTTGACAGACCTGGATGGAGGGAACCTCAAATGAGGAATGGCTTCCATTGAATTGGCTTGCATTCATGTCTGTGGGGCATTTTCTTGATTGTTGCGTGACGTGGGAGGGCCCAGCCTACTGTGAGCAGTGCCACCTCTGGGCAGTGGTCCTAGGTTGAGTAAGAAAGTAGGCTGAGCACAGGCCAGAGGAGCAAGCCAGTAAACAACATTCTTCCATGGTTTGTGCTTTAGCTCCTGCCTCTAGGTTCCTGACCTGAGTTTCTGCCCTATGAGCTGAGAGATGTAAGGTAAAATAAACTCTTTCTTCCCCAAGTTGGTTTTGTTGAGTGATTTTATTACAGCAATAGAAAGTAACTAGGACACTCATCTTACAGAAAAATAGAAACATTTAAAAGTTCATAGGACATATAAAATCTAAGTCACAAGATTTTATTATAAAAGAAAATGTCATCATAGAGGAAGAAAACAGCTATGATTTCCATTCTCCCTATTTCCTTCAAAATGGTTAAAGGGTACAAAGTTTCAATTATGAGTAAGTTATGGAGATCTAATGTACAGCATGTTGACTAGTTAGTAATATATTTAATATTTGGAACTTGTTAAGAGAGTCCTCTGGTTAGTTCAACAAAAAGCTAACTATATGTATGATATATATACTTATTACATATGTACCTATTAGCTTGATTGTGGCACTCTTTTCACAGTGCATACACATATCAGAACATCAAGTTGTATATCTTACATACATAAAATTTTTATGTAAATCACACTCCATAAGACTGGAAAAATAAAAAGAAATACATAAACAAGTAAAGTAAATACCAAAGCTCCAAATGTACTAAGGTGATTGCCCTTACATCAGTCTCAGTATTGCTAAGGCCCTAGCACTCATTGCTACTGTCGGGACTTACCTCTTTGGTAACGGGAGGCAGTAATAATGCCAAGTTACAGAATTTCCAAGCTTCCGGAGGTTCCTCAAGATCAACATAACACTAGAAGCAAAAAACAATAATATTAAAGGTGATCACATTCAATATAATGGGATCAAATGATCTTTAAACAGTAGTCTTTATTACCTTGGCCATATACATATAGTTGGACATAGAATAACCAGGTTGTAGTTCTTCAGTCTGGTTTAAAGAAAGAAGATGAAAGAGTAACATTATAACAAGAACATTGCTCATAATGAAAGAGGACGCATATTAATAAATCAGTATTATTAACCAAACTGCCACAACAATTTAGAAAGGCTGTTTCACATTTGAATAGTTTCGTTAGTTTAAGTAACTTTTGAGTAGAAACATAGCTTTTAAATTTAGCTGTTAAATTGAATTGGTTACTATGGTCATTAAGTTTCCAAAGCAATGAGATTCCTTTGCATAATATAATCATTACCTTCACTTTTTGTTTTTCTATATTCTCTCTTTCTCCTTTTGTGAACAAAAGAAATTGGTAATATACTCTCCCTAGGGCAAGTCCTATCCATCTCACTATCTGTTTGGGAAATGAGAGCAGAGCATGGGTGGATCCATGGCAAGCATCTTCCCTACAGTGGTGTTGGTGGATGCTGGTTGGCTGCTGCGTCTCTCTTCTAATCACTTCTACTTCAGTATTTCTCATTTGGTATGAGCATTTCTTGAGTCAGGTCAAGAAGAAATTAGGCTGATTGTTCAATTTCACATCCTTTTATGCCCAGTAATTGAACTAGCTCTCTGAAAATCCTATCTGGATAGCTTGCCTCCATGTACATGCAGAAATTATTTATTTATTTATTTAACATTAGCATTTAAATTTACATATACCTTAATACCTATGTTGAATTAAAATGGTTATAAATACAAATGCTTCTTTTTGCTGTTATTCATCTTTTTAAAAAATATTTTATTTATTATCTTTATTATTTTATGTGTATGCGTGTATTGCCTGAATGTAGGTAAGTGCACCCGTGTCATGCATCATCTTTTTTTTTAGACAGGTCTCACTATGGAACAATGACTGGCCTGGAACTTGCTACATAGACCAGGCTATTCTTGAGCTTTTCTAAATCAAAACATTTATTTTTATTCTTCTCTTGATTAAAAACAAATTAAGCCCAAAGGAATACAGGTCACTAACAACACTGAAATCCTAGAAAAACTTTTTATCACAGGCCTTAGATAAATTACAAGAAGCACAACAGTATTCAGTATAACGTCTCATTGAAGAAGTTTCTAGAGAGGCTTTTAGAACACTCTTTCCCCTAATGCTTGCCAAAGAAAGCTGCACAAGTTTACTTGGACTTAGCTATGCAAGTTCCTTAGAGGTAGGAGCTACGGTGGTCATTTCTGTATTCCCTGAATTTGGCACTATGTGCTAATAAAAATGTTGAATAAATAAGCTTTACTTTAAAACACCTCATAACCTCAAGATGCAGCCATCTACCATATCAGGAATTTGAAGAGAACTCTGCAGTTGGTGAAATCCATGGTAATATACTCTCCCTAGAGGAGGTCCTAACTGCAAACAGTGTGAGCTCACAGAAGCCATTCATCTATGTTGGAATGCCCATCATCTACAACATATGTTCATCCTTGGGTTCAGTAGTGTTATGTCCAACTATTGTGGGCTGCCACTGAAATCACCTTAGGAGCTTTGAAGACACTGCCATTCTTTAAAAACCACACACTATATGATCTAAAAATTCCATCTCTAGGTCTCTCCCAAAGAGAAATACTAATATGCCTACACAAAAGTTTTTATATGAATATTAACAGAAGTTTTATTCATAATAACCCCAAACTGAAAACAACTCAAATGTCCATCAATAGGTTATTGTGATATATTTACATATGAAATATTATTTTCAATGAAAAAAATTACTGATATACTCAATGAAATGAAGCTAAAAATATGCTTAAAGAAAATAGATATTTACAAAATACAAACAGCGTGAGTTCATTTATATAAAAGTTTAGAATAGGCATAACTAATCTATTGTGATAGAAGGCCTATAAGTGCTCACCAGGGAGAAAGTGTGGGAAAACTCATATCAAAATGCCAGAGATAACTCCAGGGAAATGCTCTATGTTTTGAAATGGTAGTAGTTGATGGAGACACAAATTTGTCAAACATCACTGTACTTCACATTTAAAATGGGTGCAATCTACTATATACAAGCTATACCTTCACATATGCAGAGATTCTCAAACACTTAGTCAGAGTCATGGTCTTGGCTGACAAACTTTAAAGTCCCTAGATGATTCTAATATATAGCACAGGTTCAGAAACAATGCCCTAGGGAATCATGCCAGAACTAAGGATAAGACGGGATGAGCTACAGCTTGAAAGCTCCCAAAAGTGATTCAGAGAGGACTAGCAGGTCCAAAACTACCTCCTTCAATACTGCAAAGGACCAGAGTTTTCATTGTAAGAGCAAAATAACTACAGTAAATATTTGTATTTAATTAAAACCTTTAACATGCTAAACTCTTGGCCAAGACAATTATGTGTATTAGTCTATATAATCCGCATTACAGAAAAAGTATAAAGTAGGTGTTACTATGCTAACTCCACAGATGAGGAGTTTAAATGTACAAGAAATAAAGAAAATGTACTTGGGTCATATAGACAGGGAAAGGCTCAGGTCCCAGCTTTAGTTATCTGACTTTCAGCTAATGCTCTTGACCCAACTGGAAGGCTCTGGAGACATCTTCCTGACCCTGTGAGCTCTGTAGAGGGATGGACGAGGGGCATGAGGCCAACATGACCTCTTATAGGAACCACTAGTCGCAGCCTCTCCTAGGGAGTGGATCCAAGGCCTGCATTGTTTTATGATCTTCCTCTCTACTGCTCACATTTTTAAGTTCATCTGTAGGCCTAACCCTCACCACACCAACCCCTCAGTAACCTCAACTGTCACAGTAAATATGGGAAGAAGCAGTATTTCTCTTCATTACATCCTTTTGGCAGAAGTCATGGAACACATTTTCAGACAGAATCTAATCAAATGTTGGGATTCCTAAAATTTAAGTTTGCAAAGATTTAAAATTTAAGAAAGTTAGATTTAAAAAAATTTATTACTATTATGTGTATGTGTGCATGCATGGTACAAGAAGCTTCTAGAACACAAAATAGACAGGATTAGAAAAGAAATTCTCTATGACACACTATAGTTAAAACATTAAAAACAGAATAAAGAAAGGTTATTGAAAGTTACAAGAGAGAAAGGTCAGGCACACCCATTATAGCAGCACCTGACTGTTTGACAGAATACTTTAAAGTCAGAAGGTCCTGGAAAGATGTATTCCAAGTCCTGAAATACCACAACTGTCAACCCAGACTATTATACCCAACCAAAACTATCTGTTAAAGTTGTAAGAGAAATAAAAACTTTCTATGATAAAAACAAAAGAATTTATGAGTACCATGCCAGCTTTACAGAGGACACTAGAGGAAATTCTTCAACCTGAACAGAAGGATGAGGACACTCAAGACGTCACAAGGAACAATAAACCATGCTAGGGCATGTAATCAACAATACTCCTGAATATTAATGCCCTCAATTCCCCAATAAAGAGATACAGACTAATGTATTGGATTAGAAAACAGATCCATCTTTTTTCTGCCTCTAAGAAATATACCTCACCCTCAATGATACACACCATCTTAGTATAAAAGAATGGGGGGAAGGTATTCTAAGCACATGGAACTAAGAAACAAGTAGATGTAGCTATTCTAATTATCTGACAAAACAGACTTCAAATCAAAACTAGTCAGAAAAGACAAAGAGGGGCACTTCATACTCATTAAAGGAAAAGTCCACCAACAGGATATTATGATCCCAAATATATATACACTAAACACACAGGCACTCAATGTCATTTAAAAATATGATTAGATCTAAAATCACAGATTAATCACAGGGCAGCGATAGTAGGTGACTTCAATATCCCACTGTCACCAACAGGTCATCAGGAAAAAATTTAAATGACTAAAAAATTAAAAAAATATTTTAATTGATTCTTTGAGAATTTCATACAATATATTTGATCATTTTCAGATTTCTTCCTCATCTTCCCTGAGATCCACCCCCATCTTCCTCACTTCATGTCCTTTATTATTTTTTTAAGGCCTATCAAGTCTGGGTCCCCCAAACACTCTCGGGTGTGGGTCCATTCCCTGGAATGTGGCTAACATAGTCAGCATCACATCCTTGACGAGAACTGACTCTCCCTCCAGCAGCTACAAATTGCCAATAGTTACTCGGGTGGGGCTCTGTGCCCATGTCCATGCTGAAATTTTATCTGGCTTGGGCTTGTGCAGGTCTTATGCTTGCTGTCACAAGTACTGTGGGTTTGTGTGTGCAACTGTCTGTTGTGTCTCAAAAACACATTTTCCTTGTATTCATCCACTACCTCTCTCTGGCTCTTACAATCTTTCTGCCTCTTCTTTCACAATGATCCCTCAACTTTGAGGAGACAGGATGTGATATAGGCGTCTCACTTAGGGCTGAGCACTTGGTGCAGTCTCTTATTCTCTGTACTTTGAGTAGTTGTGGGTGTCTGTAATTCACCATCTGCAGCAAGAAGAGGTAAGAATTAAGAGATGCACCAATCCTCTGCCAGGAGAGAGAGAGAGAGAGAGAGAGAGAGAGAGAGAGAGAGAGAGAGAGAGAGAACTTTTGGGAGCTGGTTCTCAACTTGCACATTATGAGGCAGGGTCTGTCTTCTTGTTTCTGCTTTTGCATGGCTTACCCACCGCTTGGCCACAGTCTTCCAGCTGCTTCTTCTGACTGCACCTCCCAGACAGCTGCTTTTTACGTAAGTCATCAGGCTCATGCAGCTAGTGCTTTTATCTGCTAAGCCATCTCTCTGGCCCCTGATCTACATTTTTATGGAATTTAAAATGAGATAACACTTCAACAGCAAAGAAATGAATATGCAGAGTTCTTAGATTTTATTCAAAACTTGATTGTAATTGAGTGAAACTGAACTGATTAGTTCATCAAGTCTCTCTTTAAAAAAAAATCAGTGTGTGTGAGCTCATGCATGCATGCATGCGTGTGTGTGTGCACGTGTGCTTGCATATGTGTCATGGTGGGTATGTGGTGGTCTGAGGACCACCTCTGGGTCTGTCCTCACCTGCCACCGTATTTGAGACAAGGTCTCTTGTTTGCTGTATACTCCAGGCTAGTTGGCTCATGAGCTTCTGGGAATTCTCCTGTCTCTACCTCCCATCTTGTCATAGGCATGATGGGATCACAGATGTGGGGTACCCTATCTTTACCTGGGTTATAGGGATCTGAACCCAGATCCTCACACTTCTATGACAACTTTACCAACAGAGCTATATCCCCAGCCACTGATTTTCTTTTTATAAAACAAAACAGATCATATTAAATAAAGATTAACTATATGGTCCCTGGGCTTTTATTTCCTTCTCCTCTTTCTGTTAGGTTTGAGAGTACTTATATTTTCAAAAAGCAGCCATTGGCCTGAGGGAGGGAGGAGAGGAAATCTACTTCCCACCTTGGCTCTATGATCTCTAAATACCTCTCAATTTTACAAAATGTATCCCTGAAATATAGTACAAATGTTAGGAAGGGACAATATAGTTCAGGGCCTGATTTTGACTAGAGTATACGAATCTAAAAAAGATAGGTGGGACAGATCTTCAAACGACCTGAAGAGTAAAAATAAATTGTTTTATTAGGGCCAACTGTATGTAAAGACCAAAAAAAGGAAAGTATAACCAAAGATTAAAGTGATCAATATATTTCTTTGAGTCCATGTGCATAGCTAAAGGCTACATAACAAGAAACAATGCCAGACAGGAGATACCTTTCTTTGAATTGTTGGCCAGGGTGGCCCAAGAGACTCCCAGACAGTAACCCAGCACAGAACTGGGAAAATGAACAGCAGACCCCAATCTTATCTAAAGGAATATTGACAACTAATTGCTGCTAGATGAGGACCAGCTGAGCTTCCTAAAACAAGGATCTCTAGATAGGCTGACTAGATTCAGCAGATGGACAAGCACTGGGGAATGGCTGGGGGTGCCGACAACACAGTGGACAGTAACAGGGGTGACAGAGCATATGGGCTCCAGTGGTGGTAGGGGGCTATGGGAGGGTGCCATTTGGGATGCGGGTATAAGGATGAATAAGAGTGTTTGGGATGTTTGGTATGAAATACACACACAAAAAAGTCAATAAAAAATTAGAATGCAAAAAAAAAAAAGGTAGGAAAAGGAAAAAAAAAGCCATTTAGTGTAGGTTAAATATCCACATTTAAAGAACCCTAGAATTTTCTTTAATTGTAGAGGACCAGCACCCACATGATGGAATTAGAGAACCAACACCTCAAGTTGTCCTCTGACTTCCACTCATATGCTCTCCTCTCCCTCCAAAACATAACAAAACAATGTGGAATACACAGAGATGCCGCCAATTTCTCACCTTGAAAACCTGAAATCCCTCATGTTCCAAGTCTGGAACTTGTTCAGAAACAATAGGACACTCAACAGCTTTAGATTTGGGGTCATTTCCAGTTTTAGATTTTTGGACATGGTTACATTCAATTTGTAACCATGAGATTGTATGATTCCAGATAAAGGAAAAGAGACTAGATGAATAGGAATCTCACAGATGAATATGTTGCATACTTAGAGAGTGCATACCTATATTTTATTGTTCAAAGTTGTATTAGCATAGCAACTATATATTTTAAGATAAGAACAAAAATAATGGTTTGATTCGAAGCCCCAAGAATCCTATAGAAGTGTACACAACCGAAAAGTGGCTTTTAAAAACAATTCTTCATGTCTCTTGTGTAGTTATTTCCTCCAAATTAGAACATTCTTTCCTGGAGGGAGGAGGGAGGCTCATAAGATTCAAGGAGCTAAGAAAATGAGGAGGAACACTTAGCTCAGGGAGCTCAAGATTCAGGAACGTCACAATGCTATAAGATCCACAAGCCCCTCTCCAAGGTTACACAAGCAGTAAGCAATTACTAGAAGAGATTTCCTTGGAGATGCTGGAGAGCTGGGCAGGAAGTTTCAGGGATGATGCCTTCCTGAGTCATCACCCATGCTGGGGTGGGCTTTTCAATGGTACAACTGCCTTTAACTCAGTCAAGCCTCTATTAGTAACTCCTCACAAGCTCCTGTAAGTAACCCCAGTGAACTCACTGGTTCATCAATCTAGCCTTGGGTGGAATCATTTCTTTGTCAGTGCCCTGTCACATCTCTCCAGAAAGTCACACAATAGCATCTTCTAAGATCAAACTGGTTCTGTATTCGGCTCACCAGGAATACTGGGAGCAAGTCTGATAGTCTGCTTTCAGATTTGGTAGTAACAGTTGCTGAACTTACACCTTCATTTAGGCTGCTGAATTATTTTAAAGAATACCATGTTCCTAGGACCAAGAGCAAAGCTCTTGATCCAAAAACTTTATGTTTTAAAGATAACTTAAAGTCTGAGAGGCTTAAGACAGAACATTGTTAAGACTAAGAGTCAAACTTGGGCTTCAGTGAGAACTATACTTATGGAGAGGAGAAAGATTTCTTTGACAATAAGATAGCTGGACTGGTGCAGAGGGTCAGCAATCTGACACCAACATAACTGACAGACAAAATATACCTTAAGGAAGTTATGCAAAGCTTCATGAACAGTTGAAGATGGTATTTCTCCAAACAGGGTAGCAGCCATTTTTTTCTCAATCCAGCTGAGTTTTGAGACCTACAAACATAAAGGAACATCAGTCTTAGAAAGCTATTTCCTTGAGATAATCTCTCTCTCCGGTTACATGTGTAAATATATGTATCTATGTGCATATAAGTAGAAAACATTAATAAAATACTCATAAAAACATATCAAATATATTACCCTTATGGTAATACTGGAAGAATGCCTTTTTTTCCTGTAATTCTTGAAAACCATAAGCTCTAGAACTGGCTTCAAAACCAATTTTAAGCCAAAGAGAAAGGGGTAGATTGGAGAACCATGCCAACCTGTCGGCCTATCTGATTCCTGATTCTGAAGGGATTGCAAGATATTGCTCTGCCCCACATGCAGTAGTTACAGGACCCTGCCACTGCTCTACCCCTGACTATTTCATGTTACCAGCTTCGTCCTGAGTTAGAGTCACTATTCTTAGAGATGGAAATAGAACCATGATTCTCAACCTAGAAGGAGTTCAGAGGGAGGGCCCAGTATGAATAGTAAATAGCCCCTGAGAGCCTACTGGTGTCCCAGGAGGTGATTCTACACCCAGGTACATAAAGGCAGCACTAAGTGGACTCAGCAGGTTCAAAACAAAAGAACACCTGAAGTTGGGAGGGAAAAGTGGTAAAGAAAGTAGGGGGAGAAGTAAAGGGGTGGGTGGGGGTGGATTTGAACAAAGCACACTGTATGTACCGATGAAATTCTCAAACAGTAAAATTTCAGGAACAAGCAAAACTCAATTTCACATTGTCCTTTGCCTTTTGCTTAAGTGTTTTAATTTTCCCCAAATATAAATGTTAGGTATGTATTAGAAAAGCTTAAACTATTTCAGAAATGAGCACTTGAAAGGGCACTGATACAGCTGCTGTGCTCCCAGTGCCATCAAGCATCTTTATTTTCAGTCCCATCTTTTAAAGCTCTAGCAGTCATTATCTTCTGTCAAAATGGTACTGTGGGATGGGGGGTGTTGTTCAGCGGTAGAGCACTAGTTTCGTATGCACAAGGCCATGGGTTCAATCTCAGTACTGACAAAAAAATACGTATTCCTGCAAATGTTACTTATTGATGTGCTTAATTTTGATGTTTTAAACTTTGTACAGAAGATATCACACTGCTTATTTTCTTTTGTGATTTTTCATTTTTTTGGTTGTTAGCCTTACCCTTTAATGGCTGTGCTATCCCTTCAGCCCTCTTTTGTGATTTTTTTAAATCTAAGATTATGCTTTTATGATTTCCTCAGGTTGATGAGTATAACTGCAGTTCAGTCATTCAAGTAAATTATTACTTTGTTTTGTTTTTTGTTTTCTGAGACAGGGTCTCCCTGGAGCCCAAGCTGGCCTGGAACTCACTATGTAGACCAGGCTGGACTCGATCTCACAGAGATCCACCTGCCTCTGCCTCCTGAGTGCTGGGATTAAAGGCATGCACCACCATACCCAGTGTTTAGATAAATTATTAAATGTGGGGTTTAATATTCTACCTGTTTTACATATTAATTTATTTGTATTCTTGAGCTGTTAGTTATCAAAACAGGCATGTAGGGGGTGGAGGGAGATTGCTCAATTAGTTTGTGGTGCAAACATGAGAACCTGCATCCAGGGGCCAGCACCCAAGTAAAAGCTGACTGTAACCCTAGCACTGAGGAGAAGGGAGTGGGGTTGACAGACAGATGTCTGGACCTTGTTGGCCAGCCAGTCTAGTGGAGTTTGTAAGCTCCAGATTCAGTGAGAGACCCTGTCTCAAAAGATAAAATGCAGAGGGACTGAGGAAGATACCTGACATCAGCCTTGGGCCTCCATATGCATGTGTACACACACATACATACACACAACACACACATACACACAAAGAAGCACATAAAGTCTATCAATAGTGTTTTGAATTGTATACATACTTCCATAATTTTGCCAATTTGTATTTTACAGTTTTGATGCTGTTATTAGGAGCATACTAGTTTAGAAATGCTTTCATGGTAAATTGAGTTTTTTATTTTTATACAGCTATCCTCTTTATTGCTACATATAATTTTGCTTTAAAATAGATTGAATGAAGTAAGAAGTATAAAGCATAAGATGCACAGGTGGTGCACATTGGGTCTTAAATAAAGCAAATTTCTTTTTCTCTTGGCCTTGATGAAAAAGTTACTGCTTTTGCTGACTCTAATTTTGTTATTTATAAATTGTATCTTGTGGTCATGGCAACTTTTTCATACATATTTTCAGACATATTTTCACATTCTGTAACTAATTAATAGTGCTATTTAAGACACCGGGTCTTAGGATGACCAGTTGCCCTTATTTGAGCTATTTCAATGTCTCATGTCCTAACTTCCTTGAAGAAAAATCTGTCTGTCTCTGTCTCTGTCTCTCTCTCTGTCTCTCTCTCTCTCTCATACACACACACACATGCACGCACACATGCACACACTTCAAGATATTTTATGGGGCTGAGGATGCAGATCAGTGGTGCAGCACTTGCCTAGCATGTGCAAGGCTCTGGACTTGATCCCTAGCCTTAAAAAATAAGTGGTTAAAAACCAAGTCATCTCTGGCTAATACACAATACTAAATGAAATACATAAAATAAAAGCTTATAAATGATAAAATATGTACATTATAATTTTAATTATGATTTGTAAATTCCAAATTAATATTCTGTTACAAAACATCATACATTATAAACACTAATTTTACAATGCTCTCAATAAACAATAGATAAAAACATAAAAGATTGCATAGGCGATTAAAAATGTGTCAAATACCCACACTGTATTCAAATAAGAATATAAGTAAAGTCACTCAACTTACAGTATAACAGTATCTTCCCTTGAGGTAATACAAAAAGGGTTCTTCAGGTAAAAGTTGGATAGCTATATCTAGATGTTCCTGAAAGAAACATTCACAGGAAAAGTTACCTCCCAAGTGTCAGATACTGCTGAATGGAGCTGTGTGAAAGCCCAGGGAACAGCAAGTGGTCTTACAGTGTCTCCACAGTTTCCCCAGTCCTTATCACTGACATGGTTAAGTTCGAGCAACAATTCAGCAATACAGCAGGAAGTAGGATGAGGACTGTGACTTGACTAGGCCAAGTTTAAGTTAAGTCAGATGCCACAATGAAAATAGAAAACATGCAAATCAAATGTTTACCAGTCCAAGACTCTCAGTGAAGACACAGTGATAAGAAGTGGGCTCACATGAACCATATGACATGGTTAGGATTTGATATAGGAAAAACAGCAGAGCTGGGGGGAAAGGAACTGTTTCCCAGATACTGTCAAAAAGAGTACAGGAGACTGGGAAACAGGAGCTGTTTTCTCCCAGCTGTAGCTATTGACCTAGAGAGGTTAGTTACTGGGTTCGAAAATTAGAGTCAAACAGTACATGTGTGTGAGTGAGTTATTTTGCTCCTCCATCATTGCAAATTTAAGCTTTAGATTAGATTCTGTTCCCTCACCAATATGATGGTGCTGAGCTCATAACCAAAAGGCTAATGCACTCCCCTACTATGTGAGTTCTTGCAGGATCTGGAAAAAGAATATTTAGCCACCCAAATAGTTTGATTCTGTTTGTTACTATAGTCTTTATAGAGCCATTTTATTTTCTACTGTTTAAATAACAAAATAAGTAAATCCCTAGAGCTTAACCTGGTGAATAATCTCATACCTACTAATACAACATAGAACTACAATAAACATTTTGAATACTAAGAAATACCTTGAATAAATGTCCACAGTTAATTTTGTTTTGTAATCCTTCAAACTCAGATACATGGCCACACAAAACTGCATACCTAGAAAGGAAAACAGTAGTCACGTAGACTTTTAATCAAATGTCACCAACATACTGCATTTGAGACACATCTCTAAAGCACACATTAATATTTTACAAAAGTATTAATATAGATGCAAGGGCCCTAAAATAAATATTTGACATTATTATGAGGCCAGTTTCTTCAATCATAACTGGGCACAATAATGCTATCTGTGCTACATATATGTTCTCTGACCAGTGCCTGGGCATGTAGTAGGTTTCAGTAAATGTCAGCTGCCACTGTCAGTGACATCATCAACATCAAAATTATGCTGATACTCTCAGAGGTATAAACATTGCTTAAATTAGAAAACATTGTGTCAACAGACCTATATATTTTAAAACACTAAAATCAATATTTAGAACTCATTCTCCTTTTAAAAATAAAATTTCCTGGTCTCCTTAAATATCATAATAAGGAAAAACAAGTATCATGATTAAAAAAAAATAAAACCAAAGGTAATTTTTGAGTATGCTTTTAAAAAATTCCCAGTTTCCCTATAAGAGTGCATCCTAAGGTTAAGTTTTCCTCTACCAGGAATACAAAATTTATATAAATGGTTATTTGACTATAACCTGGGTATAGTATTTGTTGAGCAACTTGCTTATTTACTTTAAAAAATGAGGACATGTTATTTCTTATATGTGTTTTGTCTGTTCAAGCCTTCAGAGTAATTCAGAATGCTGATGTCTGAAGCAAAACACTCATTTTTTAACTATTTCAAGAGTATGTGCTAGCTATTTGCATTGCTATAATAACTGAGATAATAATAATATTTTGAATACTATCAATCATTTCTGTAAGCATAATTTCTAAGTACAAAACTGAAGCGAGCTATTTCCTAATTTGCAATATCAAGACCATTCCTGGACACAAAGCATGACTTAATTCACACACTCATGCATAATAAAAAACATAGCCCTTTTTCAGTTGTGATTTTTTGTTCTCTTAATTTTCAGTTCCTAAGTAGCCAATAGAATCCACCACAGTAAAGAGAAAAAGAACAAGAGGTGGGACCCCATGACATTTCTGCCAGCCACCTTGGCATGACAGCTGGTTTGTCATTGTGCAGAGCTCTTATGCTGTATTTTGTGTGGAAATATGTTTTAAATTCCTTTGGGTAGATAACATGAAGCATAAGGCTGGATCCCATGGTAAAAGTACTTTATTAGAAACTGCAAATTTGTTTTCCACAACGACTGTGCTATTATATTTTCCCACGGCAGTGAATAAGAATTCCTGTTGCTTCCCATCTTTGCTGTTTGCTGTTGTTAATATTTTGGCCATTCTACTATGTGTATAGTGGTGTCTCCTTTTGCTTTAATTTACAATCCCCTGATGACCTCTGAACATACTTTCATATGCTTACTTGCTATTTCCCTTGGTAAGGCATCAGCTGTTCCGGTCTTGTTTTAGTTTTTAAAACTATGTTATTTGTAGTCTTATTGCTGAGTGTAAAGTGTCTTCGCAGACTCTCATAACAGCTTTGTCTGATATGTATTTTTTGAAAATATCCCTCCCAACCTGTGGCTTGTCTTCTCATTCTCCTGACATTGTCTTTCATGGAAGTATTGTAGTTTGAGTGAGAAATGTCCCCCATAGGCACACGTATTTGAACACATAGACCCGGATTGGTGGCACTGTTTGTGGAGGTTTAGGAGGTGGTGCTGTGCTGGAGGAAATATGTCACTGGGGGCTGGTTTTGAGTGTTCATAGCCTAATCCCACTTCCAGGTTCCTTCTCTAGGCTTCATGTTTGCCATTGGAGAGGTGAGCTCTCAGCTTCCAGCTCTAGCTCTCATGCCTGCCTGCTGCCATGGCTATGATGAACTCATCCCTTTGCAACTGTAAGCCAAAATAAATTCTTTTTCTCTTTAGTGCCTCAGTCATGGCATTCTATCATAGCACTAGAAATACAATCATATTGGGGAAAACTGACATCTTAACAAAACTAAGTCTGTCTACCCACAACATGGACTGGACTATCTCTCCATTTACTTAGTTTTTTGATATCACTCATGAGTTTCATAGTTTTTCTCATACAGATCTTGAACATATTTTGTTAGGCTTTTACCTAAGTAAATTTTGGGTAGGCTGATGCAAATGGCAATATAGTTTAATTTCAAATTTCAATTGTTTATTTCTAGCATATGAAATGACTAGATTTTCATATTAGCTTTATATCCTATAACCTTGCTATCATCAGTAAATTCCAAGGGTGTAATCATGCAATCATGTCCTCAACAACAACAACAAAAAGTCATTTTAAGGTCTTTCTTCTCAATCTGTGTATCTTTCATTTCCTTTTCTGTCTTATTAGCTAAGACATTAGCTAGAATGTTTCACAGAATGTTGAAGAGCACTGGCAAAAGGGGCAT